GAATCGACTCAACGGCACTTAATAACAACAACCAGAAGACCAAATACATCTGTGTTGAAAGAAGTACAACCAAATATTCCTTAGAAGCCAGGGTGGCCAGACTTCGTTTCTCACACTTCAGTCATATTATTAAGAGGGACCAGTCCCTGGAGAAGGACATTATGCTTGACTGCATAGGGTCACTATGAGTTGGAGTGTTCTTGATGACACCTAACCACAGTAGCAACACACCTATAGATTTAATCCCATTTGGGAATAGGGTTAACTTTGTTATGTTAATGAGGCCATATCAGTATGGGGTGTGTCTTAAAGCAATTCCCTTTGAGATATAAAAGAGCAAATGAAGCATAGACTCAAGCAAGCATGGGTGGGAAAAGATAGATACCAAGGAACTCTGGGAAGAATGCAATAAACTATGACAAGGATTTATCCCCATCGCAGTTAGAGAGAGCCTTCTTCCAGAGCTGGCATACTGACTTTGGACTGAAGCTTTCTAAACTGTGAGACAATACATTTCTGTTTAAGGGCCCTCACTTGTGATATTTCTATTATAGCAGAAATACCAAACATAAAAATACCAAACATCCTTTTCTTCCCATTTTAGGATGTCAAAAAACATTTCCCCATTTTTTTAACTGTTATATTTAAACTAGATTCCTCAACCTTGTAATAATCTTTGCCTCTGGAACACAATTTTCTGTTTGTTTGTTTTTTTTATAAGGATCCATGTGGAGTCCTGGTGTGGCACTGTGGGTTAATGCGCCAGATTTCAAAGCCATTTGAACTGCAAAGTCTGTAGTTCAAGCTCACCAGCGGCTCCTCAGAAACCTTTTACAGGGTCGCTATGGGTCAGAATTGACTCAATGGCACTTCACAACAACAACATGTGACACTAACACATATGTTTGACATGTGTTACAGTGGACCATGTGCAGTTGTTTGTTTTTTTTTAACATAAGAGATATTTGGCATTATCTGTGATAAATGGTAGATGAAATACTCTTAGCTTCCTACATGAAACAAGAAATAAAATAATTAAAATCATTATAATATGCATATAGATGAGAACTATAAATCCAGAGAGGCAAATAGTTTACAGGAGGAAGAGAAATAAATAAAGAATAATTTTTATATGTATGCATATTTATTATAAACATGAACTGCCCCACAGAGTTTCTAAGTCTTTAAGCCTTGATGGAAGCCAACTGCCACATCTTTCTTTCTAAGAGCTTCTGGCAGTTTCGAACCACTGATCTTTTGGTTAGTAGTCAAGCGTTTAGCCACTCTGCCACCATGGTTCCTTATGCATATTCACAATTCTTACATGCAGTACAATTCAAACATGAAGTAGATATATTCTATAACCTTAAGAAAAGGCAAGTATGACATTTTTGAGTAATGGCATCAGAAGTTCTAGTAGAAAAACTGATCAGGACACCTCAAAGATAGGAAGAATATGGAAACCAATTTTATAAGCATGTACATGTAACTGTTATATGAATCAAGACAGGAAATGAACCCATTATTCAATATACTGAAGTATTTTAATACCTTTAAATTTCTAGGTAAAGAAAACATGTCTTCATTCCGTATTTTTAGGGGTATCAAGGCTAGTCAAAAGAAATGCTGACTTAGGAATCAGGACACAGGCAGAGCATTAGAATTTGTTTAAATAGAAAAAAAAGAAGGAGTATGTTTCATCCAATATGATATTTTTGCAAACAGGAGATAAAATACTGATATGTTTCCTTTAAAATCAACTAATAAATAAAAAGAAGAACAAACAAACAAAAAATCTGTAAAACGTATGGAAAAGCATAAGAAACCTGGTCACATTTAAGGCCCTCATAGGAAAATTTCTAGTTTAAAGTGGTTTTGTTACAGAGTATGTACTGGCTTGAATCTCTCTTATTGTTTTGGTTCCTAAAGTCCCATCAAAGCTGATGATTAAAGTTCTACCCACTGACCAGGTCCCTACAATTATCCTATTGTGAGTGAGTTCTACATTGGGCACCCTGCTACTGCCAGACATAAAGTCATTAGAGAACTGCAAGGGATGATGAAGAAGGTTATTTTAATTCCCTTTCAGTCCTTCTCAGGAGTGGCTCTTTAGTTCACAGAGCTGTGGGTACTTGCTTTCAAACTAACAAGCAATATTATAAATGGAGGATGCATTATCATGATTGCAGACAATCTAAAGCACTTGAGGGCCAAGGATTCCAGATCCTCAATATGTGCTGTTTTGTATTTATCAGCTAAAAATATATAGACAGTTCAAACAATCAAACAGGGGAAGAAAACAACAAAAAAGCAATGAATAGGGTGGGAGGGAGCATGGAAAGTAGAATAAGAGAAAATAGAATAAAACCAAAAAAGCAGAATTCAGAAGGGAATACAGTCTTTGCAATTTTGTTGGTATATAAATATATATATATTTTTTTACCCATTTTCTTGCTGCTCCACCACATAGTGTTCCAGCTCTGTACCAGGAAGGGGCTGCACTGGGGGAGGAGGTAGTGGGACATTGGCCCAAGTTGATCCATTGTTTTTCTGTGGTTTTGAAGAGTTTTTGTTTTTCTTCTTTTTTCCACCTTTCCCACCTGAAAGTAACAACACATTTATTCAGACATACTAAATATCAGTGCCAATAGAGTACATCTGATGGAGAGATGGATTTTTGTTTTCAAAACACCAGAATCCGTCTATTATACTATTAACAGCTATGTACAATATAATGATATAATCAGAACAATATTTATATAAATCATTCAAAAGTATATTGTTTTTTTTCCTCCCAATATCTTAGTAGTAAGGCTAAATAAACCAAAAACATGGCTGCTGTATCAAAAGCGCATTTATTGATTTTTTTTCATGTCTACTGCTCCCACATTTTCATTGTTAGATGAGATAATGGGCCGTAGCAAACTCTTTCAAATGTCAGATTTTAGTGCATTTATAATGCTCTTTTGCATAATCTCTCTCAGTGGAAAATACAGTGTCTGAGGATACAGGCTAAATTTTCCATTAGAATTTACTCAATTTAGTTAATCCGGAAGAGTAACATTTCCTCTCAAAAGTAACTGATAAAAATCAATCAAGCACAATCTTGAGAATAGTTGTAAATCTTTCACAATCTCTTTTATAGGCTTTTTAATTACTGCAATACACAATTACTTTTTGCATAGCGAGAACAGTTCCCCATTGTTTTAAGCCCAGCATTTCATAAAATTCTAAAAAGGGAAAAGAAATCAATGATATTTAGTAAGCAATTTCAGTACTAAGAATGCAAGTGAATCTGTGCACAAAACATGAAGAAAAAAATGACAGCAGCATAGAAGCCATACCAAAAATTGCTAGGTATTGATTAATACAGAAAATTAAAGTTTATCTGTTTTATAGTGCTTCACTTTTCCAAAATTAAGTATATAAGGCTGGAACTAAAATAAAAAGGACCAAAACTGGATATAGAAAAAAAGTCTTTTTTTTTAACAGAATGACAAAAGGATGTCCTCAGGGAAGATCCAGTAACTTCTATCACTTCTATCACGTTGTATAGCTATTTCTCCCAAAAATTATACTGACCCCTTGGACTTCTTATTTCTGGAACTTATGCTTGTGAGCATCAAAGGCTGGTAGCAGGGCTAGCTAGCAACACAGATATCACTAGAATTCTACCTAGCTGGCCCTGGTAAAGGAATGGTTAAGCACTTGACTGCTAACTACAAGGTCAGCAATTCAAACCCACAAGCAGCTCCTCAGAGAAAAAGACAAGAGGATCTGTTCCCATAAAGATTACAGCCTAGGAAACCCTATGGAGTAGTTCTACTCTGTGCCAAAGGGTAGCTGTGAGTCGAAATTGACTCTACTGCACATACAAACAGCAGAAGTCAACATAACTACTGTCGTCTACCAATTATTAATCTGTTTCAGTAAAATCATAAAATTATATAACTTAATAATACCTACTTTATTTTGATTGCCAAAAGTTGATACGCTCTTTGGCTACTGCTGTTGCCAGTTATTCAATAATGTAATTTCTCTAGGCAGCGTATACATAAACACACATGTATTTTAAAGAGCATCCTTGCATATACAGTGCTTTCCCCTTTCCTTTCACTTCTTATTTCTGGCAGGAGAGGTGTCACTGAGCTAAAGGAGAGTAGATATTTTTTACCTTACAGGTTAACAGATTGGTTTCTGGGTTTGACAACTGACTTATTTTACTTCCCAGGCTACTTTTGAGATACCACTTCAATCTCTACACATGTAAAACAGCCATTATACCATAAGTACTTCTGGGAGTTATTTTTAGAATAAAAAGAAGTAATGCAAGTGAAGTGCTCAGCATGTAAGGAGTGCTTAGTAAATGCTAGTTATTTCCATTCTTTCCCATCTCCTCTCCTTTAAAGCAAACTCAGTTTCCTTCTGTTTTCTTAAGGCTTCTCCAGGCCCAGCTCCTCCAGGCCCAATTAGAGCCCCAGGAAATAGCTTGACTCTGAGAATAAGAATAATAAATGTGCTTATAGACAAGTATTCAATTTGTGTTTCTAAGGTAGTTTTTGTTAACTTTTGTTGAATTTGACCCAACTCATGGTGAACCCATGCATAATAGCACAAAAAGTTGTCGGGTCCTGAGCCATACCCATTCATGATCAGTCGTTGTTCAGAACTTTGTGTCTCACCATCTGAGAGATGAGTCTTAATCCTTTATTTCCTGAGGACCCATGAAAAAGAAAATAACAAGGCCTTTGCTTTTTTCTTTTATTTTGTAGTGTCAGAACCATAATTCAATGATTACAGAGGAATGAGTTGGACCATGTGTCCTATGTCCACTAGTTATACCTTCTTTCTTCTTTGTATATATAAATCTCACACCCTTGAAAACATATATATATAAAACACTTTTCATTTTTCATAGCATTTTATAAATAGTGTATGGTCACCACACTAATTGGATGACATAGATAGGGAAGTTTGATATCTCTACTATTTTGATGAAAGAATTGAGGATAGTTCTGGTTATTGAGTGCATCATTCACATTCACACATTTAAAGAAAATGAATTAGAACACAAAAATTTCACTGGGAATTACTATTTCTGGCACTCTTTAATGTCATTCTGCTAATTTCTTGCCCAAGTGCGAAAAAGCTATCACCTAGTCTTTCTAGCCTTTTGGAGATCTTGAGTAACACAAGAGCTCCTGGTGTGGCACTATGGGATCAGCACTGGACTTTGAACCACAAGTTCAGTGGTTCAAATCCACCAGCTGCTTTTCAGAAACCCTATACAGGGTTGCTTTGGGGCGGACTCGATTCGACGGCACATAACAACAACAAGAAGTGACACAAATATTCAGGTGCTTGATGATAAGTTGCAAAGGTTGGCAATTGAAACCCACTCAGAGTCACCTCTGAAGACAAGGCTGGGAATCTGCTTTGGAAATCTCACACCCTTGAAAACATATCTATGGACCAGTTCTACTCTGCACACATTGTCACCATGAGTCAGATTCGACTCCAAGTTACTAATGACACAGTCTTTAAAAAAACTGGATGTATTTTGGAATCATTACTGATGCATAGAGGAAACTCATGGGGCCTTTAAAGTCAACAACTCTTTTCTCCTATTTTAGGAACATTTCTTCTCTTCTGATTTAGGCAGTCTTATAAGGACTATCCATCAATATGCCTTTCCTCCTTGTAACAATGAGCTAAGTGGTAGGCTTTTCACATGGTGGTGGCATATAACATAAGCTCAGTCCAGTATGATGCTGTAAAATAAGCGCTCCTCAGAAAACTAATACAGGGTTGTAATGAGTTGGAACCACCTTAGTGACACTTTAACAACAAAGTAGTTTATCTGAGCAACAATTTACATATTACATGTTGTTGTTGTTAAGTGCTGTTTAGTCTAGTCAGTTCTGAATCATAGTGACCCTGTATAGGGTTTCCGAGGAGTGGCTGGTGAGTTTGAACCACCGACCTTGTGATTCAAACAAACATTGCAGTCCACTGCTTATCCTATAGTGCCATAGCAGGACTACCACATGTAAGTATATGCAATTAGTATATTTTAAACATATAGATATAAAAACATAAATGAATATATATACATAAATATATCTTTTAGGAGATTAATGGAATCAATGAAATACTAAGTACCATTATGAATCATGTTTTGTTTCAAATTTATCAGAAGCTAAGTTTTGAATCTAGCTTACAATCATTGTATAATGAATATCTAAAGGAAACAATTACAGAAAATCTTAAGTAATCCATGCGTTAGGTTATATGAGTTACTTTTCATATTTTGCTTGGGACTTTAAATATCTTAAATGATATAAATAGGAAACTGCATACATTGCTTTTTAAGTATTCAAAACAATGTGAGACTGCTTGTCAATAAATGACAGTATAAATAACACATAAGGTTTTTCAAAAAGGTGTCTTATGTTATTAAGATCATTTAAATTCTTAACAGCTGTTTAAAGTTTATAGAATCTATAATGCATCTAATCCTACCAACATGTAAGAAGAGCAATTGACTCATTTTGGAGGGAAGAAGGAGCATTAACATTTTCAGACTGAGAGGAAACCATCTCCTGAGGAAAAGTAATTTATTAAATGTTACCCTAACTCCTAACTATCTAAAAGAGTTAACCCTTTCTGTCTTTAATGTTTAGTAGTTTATGACATACCACAATAAACTATAATCTTTCTGAAGTTCAAAAATATTACACACTTCCATACAAAGAGCATATCAGTAATCTGAACATATAAAGCAAACAGGGTCATGAACTAATTAGGAATGTGCAGATAAAATCATCATTCATAGAATGTAAATGTTATAGCTGAAAGTTAGAGTGCTACTACTTATTACTACAACCTTTTTATTTTACAGATGAGAATCTTAAGGACCGGAAGGTATCACTGATGTCCATTCTGATCGGTATATATTATGGACCAACAATATGTGTTTCAACCACATGTTCTATACAGTACTTATTTTGGACATTTATTACTTCAGCTAATATATCTTAAATATATATTAGTATTTATAGTTCACAAAAATACCAGTATCAAAGACTATGTTTGTTTTAAATTAAATTTTAACAATAACTTTCCATATTGACATTCTTGTTTGCCACGTTGTTAGGTCTCAAATCAAATAATATGATTTACTCAACTGGTAATAAATCATATAACATGGCTATTAGAAAAAAAGTTCTAAAAGTAGGAAGTCTTAGCACTGGAAATCTAACTTATAAAAAAATCACTCAAATTATTTGAGTTTTAATTAAATGCATCTCTTGGTGTCCATGTCATGAAACTTAATTTCATGCACATCTTTATTATAAATTTCTCTTGACCCTTACATAGGATTCAAGGCAAATCAGACTTTTCTGCCTTTCAATGAATATTATTTAGCATTCATTCAATTCTTCTAATACTAATGGTAGGTAATACAATACTATATCTTTTTCTAAAGACATCGTGTACAATTAGTGCATAAGGGAGGGTGATTTTCATCTCCCTTCCCCCAAGCAATGCTTCATTACCATAAATAGTTATTGTCCATTAGAAGATACATAAATGCCTGACAGTGAGTTGTGATTCAGTATTTCTTCATGATTGTTAGGAACATAGGTTATATGTTGATGACAAACAAATAGTTCTCCTTACTGTAATGAGACCAACCTGAGAGACTGCCACTCCTTTCTGAGCTGTTGTGAGAGCTGGTGGTGCTGAAATCCTGTGACTGGTTGTGTGGCATTCTATTAGACAATCCCTCAGCCAATCGGTAGTCAGGAATGTAAAGTAAGGCTAAGGGTTAAAGGGCAGAGGTCACAGTGGCATTATGTGATTAGTTCACAGCACAAGCCCATGCAGAACATGCAGTTAGCAACTCAGAAGCAGATGTCGTGGAAGAGTGAAGGAATGTTTTGCCTACCCTGTCCTAATGGAAATAGAGATGGAGTGCTGTTCACTGTAGTGAAAAAGAGCTACAAGCATGAAATTGATTGGTGTTGGTGTGTGGTGGGGTGGTGGTGGTGGGTGATAGGGATTGTGCATGCCGGTTTATTATTTTTAGTTCAAGTAGTGAACCTGGTAATGAATCACTGTCAAACAACAAATACTAATTTCTATCTCATGCACAAATGATATGAAAATAACTCTGAAGAAACAAGAATTTGACTTACCATTGTTACCTTTATTCTGATCAGGGAGAGAATAACCAAATCCCATCAGATCTGTCTTTTGCTGAATTGAACTTTTCCATTGTGGATCAGGCAGATCGACAGCCAATTCATGAATGCTATTGGAATGTAAGATCTGTGTGGTAGCATATGGGGTAGCCTGTGTTATTTGACTGGAACTGTTGTAAGTGGTTTTGGTTGTGAAGTCAATGCTGCTATATATGGCTCCATCTGAGAGCATTGTTGCGGTTTTATCCCCTTGGCCTGGAACTGGTGGTAGCACATCTACAGTGAATATAGAGAAATGAAATAGTTTAATGAAGCACAGGAAGCCCAAAACTATCAGCATTGAGGATGAAAAATAAATGTGTCATGTCACACATTTGTATTTCAGCTGAGATGACTTCATGAGCCAATGAACGGTAGATGATGTACAACCATCACCAAGCTATCAGCTTCAGTGACAGGCAAGCCTATCCCAAGTCCTTCATGTCTCACTGATACAAACACTCCTTTCTCCATTTTCTTCAACCATAAATAATATGCTTGGGATATTTTTCTACTGAACAATGCTTTAAGTTGCTCATTCTATTTTAGAACCAATGAAATTATTAGCACTTTACAGAAGTAATAATGAAAGTGAATCTAAAAATCAAGGAAGAAATAATTTTTTCCCCGTTACTTCCAAAGACATGGAACATAACTGCTGAATAGATGAAAAAATCCAAAATTATACTATCCTGACTATGTGGTTCATTTATCTGATAAGTTAACTTGTCAATTATCCAATCTGATTGCACAGTTACACACCAAAGTAGAGCTGATGTTTCCAATGATTTTTTTTTTCCCTTTGATAATAAAGGGAAACTTTCATGAATAAGCCATTTTACAATACAGCAGGATTTATACAACTACAGAAAAGGCAATCTCAGTGATCAGGGAGTTTAATTTATGCTACCAACTCTTAGAAGTGGAGAATTGCAGTTTCAAGTTGTAATACAGCAAGAGTAAAATTAAACTTCAGGAACAACACTGAGTACCAATCAGTTCATTTATTTTTTTGGTATGCCGAATTATCTTTACATTGTTGTTGTTTTTAAGTGCCCTTGAGTCAGTCTGAATCATAGTGACCCTGTATGGAGTTTCCAAGGAGTGAATGGTGGATTTGAACCGCTGACCTTACAGTCCAGCACATTTTCCTGCAGCGCCACACTAGAACTCCTATTATCTTTGCATGGTAGTGGTGGACCATGAAGTTGGTTCCGACTCATAGTAGCCCTATTTCGGGAGAAGCAAGTCTCATCTTTCACCCAGGGAACAGCTGGTAGTTTCAAACTGCTGACCCTGAGGTTAGCAGCCTAACTCTTAACCACCACTCTACCAGAGCTCCTTTACATTGTTGTTGTTGTTGTTAAGTGCCTTCGAGTCGGTTCCGACCCATAGCGACCCTGTACAGGGTTTCCGAGGGTGTAAATCCTTACGGGAGTAGAAAGCCTCATCTTTCTCCCGCGGAGCAGCTGGTAGTTTCGAACTGCTGACCTTAAGGTTCGCAGCCCGATTTGTAACCACTACGCTACCAGAGCTCCTTTACATAGTGCTTTTTAATTCAGAACTTTTACCTCTCTCCTGAGCTCTTAAAGTTGCCCTTTTCAAAAGAAATATTCTAAATGAATATTTAAAAAGAAAATCTCTAAATAACACTATTTTCAATCATTTAGTTTAAAAAAGCATGTCTAATTATAGTATATACTTAATAACCTAGGTTAAAAAAATTTCATTTCATAGGATCTGAGATCATCAGATTAGCCAATCATTTTCATGCTAGAAGTGTTCAATTACTTATAATACTGGTGTATTTAGTAACAAATATAATTATATTACAAAAAAAAAGCAATTTATTATCATTAGCAAAAACAAAGTAGGAACTTTGCAAATATATCCTAGAAACTTTAGGTGTATAGTATAGCAATACTTGGAATATGAATTATTTTACAAATAATAGTTTTATATTTGCATTTTTAAAAGTTTTTGAAAATTATTCTTTAACAACCGTGACAATAAATGTATAATGCATTTTTGTATTGTGTATTTTTTTTTATAATTTTTAAATTTCAAACTTGTTTGACAACTCAGTGGATTTGTATTTTATTAAAGTAACTTTTAGATGCAAACATGTGAGATAGTTAAGCACCTTCAAATGTATATTTAACCAAGAGATGTTGTTAAGCGCCCTGCAGTCAGCTTCCACTCTTAGCTACCCTCTACAGTGTTTTTCAGTGGAGTCCTGGTGTGGCGCTGTGGGCTAATGTGTTAGACTGCAAAGTCCTTTGAACTGCAAGGTGGATGGTTCAAGCTCATCAGCTGCTCCTTGAAAACACTATACAGGGTCACTATGGGTGGGAATTGACTCAAACGCACTTAACAACAACAACATAGGGTTTGAAGGCCTTAAATCTTCAACGGAGCAGAAAACTCCATGCCAAGAAGCCAGAGGGCTTGAAAAACGGACCTCATTGTTCACTGTCCAGATATATGAGCTTTGCTGTCTGTTTCTAAGAATTTGTAATCTCTTGCTCTTCTGGCTTTCATCGAGATCTGGTAGTGTAGTGGTTACGAATCGGGCTGCTAACCTTAGGGTCAGCAGTTCAAAACTACTAGCTGTTCCGCGGGAGAAAGATGAGGCTTTCTGCTCCGTAAAGATTTACAGCCTCGGAAACACTGTACAGGGTCGCTATGAGTCGGAACTGACTCCACGGCACATAACAACAACAATTTAAAAAAAAGGAGTCCAACAATTAAAAAAAAGAAGACCTGTTGTGGCGCTGTGGGTTAATGCGCCAGACTGCAAAGCAGCTTGAACTGCAAGGTCAGCGGTTCAAGCTCACCAGCTGCTCCTCAGTAACCCTATATAGGGTTGCTATGGATGGGAATGAACTCAACAGCACTTAATAACAACAGTTACAAAAAGGAGTACTGGTGTGGCACAGAGGGTTAATGAGCTGGACTACAAGGTCAGTTTGAATTGCAAGGTTGGTGGTTCAGGTTCACCAGCCACTCCTTGGAAACCCTATAAAGGGTCACTATGAGTAAGAACGGACTTGATGGCACTTAATAACAACAATTACAAAAAAAATTAAAAAATTAAGGAATCCTGATAGCGTAGTGCATTACAATCTGAGTTGCTAACCACAAATTCAGCAGTTCAAATCTACGAGTTTCTAAGTGGGAGAAAGATGAGGCTTCTAATCCCGAAAAAATTTACAGCCTCAGAAACTGTAGGGAGGGTTGCTATGAGGTGAAATGGAGTTGAGGGCATACCACCACCACCACCAGCTAAAAATTAGGCATGGAAGAAGCATATTTTAATTTCAAGTGTTAGAATAATTTTCATTCCCAAAAGCTTTTAATGGAATATCAAAATTGATGAAAATATATCCTTACTCTTGGTGAGATTTCAGAGTTTGAGTTCTTCCAACTCCATATTTTCCACTGATGAGTATTAAGTTGATAGAATGTTTTTATAACATGGACTCTAGTTTCCCAACACTTTGATTTGAGGGTCTCTGCAGCTTTAGATTTCAAAATGTGAGCTACTTCAACCTGAGCTTTTGAACTAATCCAAGAAACTAGTCCTACATAATTTTGCTGTGAAACAACTAAAGCTTTGGCTTTGGACATAGAATGTCTCTTCCCTACTGTATGATATCATAGACAGCCATCAAGTCTAAGTGTTTCTATACTGATATTTGGGCTGTATAATGACTTCAAATATTATATGAATCACTCCCACATTAAAAAAAAAATCAAATTATATCCCAACTTTGGAATTTTGAGAGGATTTTCATGAATGTCAGAAGGTGGGTGTGTATTCTTTACCATCAGATAGTTTGGAAATATATTTGAGATATATCTTATTCCCAGTAGTTTGTTCTACCATATTTTGGTAGTATTTTCCATTTTCCTACAGTTCCCACCAACACATCCACTTCATGTCAATAAGCCTTTGCTAACATTTGAATTAGAAATCCTTGATTTATGTGAAATCCTTCCTTCGAGCTGGAATTACTCATAATTCATTATTGTTTTCCATTACCTTGTTTACACTTGTACTCATGACTTTCTTTCTTTTAGTATAATATAATTATGTGATTGGATGGCTGCCTCCTTCATTGTATCATAAGTTTCTTGAGGACAAGCCCATATGGGATTTATGTCTGTATTTCCATAATTTCTCAACCAGTGTTTTGAAGAGAATAAGAACTTTCTGATTGAATTAAAGCTTAATAGTTGGTATTGATTCTGTTCAGCTTTTGCAATAATTAGTAATTTTATTATTTAAAATAATATTTTTATTATATTCAAATATGTTATGGCATTCCATTATTAAAGGTAAAAGATACATATTCTTGCTTCTACTTCTAAATCAATATAGTTATATAGTCACTTACATGAAACATACTTTAAAGACTGTAGAGCAGTATAATTTAAAAACAAAAACAAAACAACAACAAAATAACTGCTATTTAAAATAAGATTGACATGTATCATATGCACAGATTTATAAATTAATTAGAAGTTATCTAAATAGAACTGATTCTTGAACTTAAAATGGAAATATTATCATTAATGCTATATATTCATAGTGTGAAGACAATGAAAATGTACAGAAATCTCTAACAATATTTCTGGCAAATGACAAATATTTAAAGTTTCTATCACAATGAAAAAAAGATATAGTAAACTTTGTAAAAAAAAATTTTCTTGGTCCTGATATTCATATGAGAAATATTTCACATGATAAAAATGATGTGAAAATAGAAGAAAACCCTTTAAAAAATCTACAGTTGGAGCCTTTTTTAGAGCCTTAATTGGAGTTAATTTAGAGTGGGACAATTTAGATGTTAGAATACTCTGCCTAGAAGCTAGAGAAGAAAGAAAAAGACCCCAAAAAACTCCAATTTTGCCATTTCTTTCTTTATATAAAGATGTTGTTAAGTGTTCTTGAATCGAATCTGACCCATAGCGACCCTATATAGGGTTTCCAAGGAGCAGCTGAGGAATTTAAACCACTGTTCAAACAGCTTTGCAATCTAGCACATTAACCCACAGTGCCACACCAGAACTCCTATGTAAAAATAGAAGGGTGTATTATCACAATCAATATACATGTAAAAATAGGACTATTTCTTAGTTGATAAAAGGCAGGGAAGCGGAATTCCTTTGACAAAATCAGCTAAGGTAGAGAAGGGATGAATGCATGTTCTATAATCCTAAACAGGAGGTGCTAGGGAGAATTATGTAAAGAAATAAAATGCAATTGCAGTGCTTGTTTCCTACTATTCTCCTCTTAAAATCCACTACTGGCTTAGTGGCTTTGAGGTCTCTTATTATTTTTCCGTCTGCATTTCTCACCAACTCTGCTGCCTTGCATAAGAATATTCGTTCATTGTCTCAAATAGGTCAATATCTCTCTTTTCACACTTTTGAATAATTCTTACTTATCCTTCAGATATTCTGTGATATTCCTTTCATAGAGACCTTTTGTTCCCATAGGACAGCATTCTTATGTGGGATACTGGTAAAGCAGATCAAATCTACTTATTGTCTGAACAATCTTCTATCAATGGAAAACTCACATTTATCAAGTCAAACTCTGGAACCAAAGGCTTCTCTACTCCAATCTTTTCCTAAACCATTCTCTCTTCCATTGACTAGATGAAAGTTAATAATTTGATGATTATTCAGTCTAAATCTGTCTCCTTAAAAGGAACTATGGAAAGAAATTTAACAAGCTCCGGTGCCACTGTGGGTCTGGCATTGGGATGCTAACTACAAGGTTGACTGTTCAAATCCACCAGCTGCTCTCTATAGGAGAAAAGTGAGATTGTCTGCTTCTGTAAAGATTTAGTCTCAGAAACCCCATGTAGGGTTGCTATGAGTCAAAACTGACTCAGTGGCAGTAGTTTTGGTTTATGGGGAGGGATCTAGCACCACATTATTTAGAAGTTCTAGTATGTCAGTTATTCAGCAGCATTTATCTTTCATTTTTGGTATTAATTACCAATTGTGAAACTATAGACTAGTTCTCTCTCAACATGCTGGCATAGTTTCTTAACTGATTATTCCTTCATATAATATATTGTATAAGGATAAAAGCCATGTCTTAGTATATCAGTATTTTTATAGTCAGAGACATACAGCAGGTGCTCAATAAATATATTTTGAGTGAGGCTCATAGAAGTGAAACAATGGGGTCAAAATTGTAACTCTTAGTTAATATAGTTTCTGATTTTAAGAATTTTACATTAATATTTCAAAAAAAATGAGTTCTGGACACCAAGCTCTCCCGCCAGACCCTCACAGATCTCTCTGCACATCTGCTTGTCTGCGCCCACCATGGCTACCGTTAAGCAGCTGGTAGGAAGATGGCGTCTAGTAGACAGCAAAGGCTTTGATGAATACATAAAGGAAATAGAAGTGGGCATGGTTCAGCGAAAAATGGGTGCAGTGGCCAAACCGGATTGTATTATCACTACTGATGGCAAAACCCTCACCAGCAAAATGGAATGCACTTTGAAAACAACACAGTTTTCTTGTAACCTGGGAGAAAAGTTTGAAGAAACTACAGCTGATGGCAGAAAATCTCAGACTGTCTGCAACTTTACAGATGTTGTTTTGGTTCAACAACAGGAGTGGGATGGGAAGGAGAGCACGATAACATGAAAACTGGAAAATGGGATATTAATTGTGGAATGTGTTATGAACAATGTCACTTATACTCAGACCTATGAAAAAGTAGAATAAAAATTACATCTTTACTTTGAATAGGAATTATCTGTGAGAATGAACAAGTTCAGTTCAATGAGCAAACCTCCACACTGCTTTGTTTTTTTGTTTTTTGTTTTTTCGTTATTGTGTTCAATTATTTTTCACACAGACATTTACATGCAATTGTTTTAAAGTGTTGGCTTAATTAGGATCATCCCTTTGATTAGTAAATAAATGTGTTTGTGCTCATACTAAAAAAAAAAAAATTGAGTCCTGGTCTGGCACTGTGGGATAATGCGCTGAACTGCAAAGTTTGTTTGAAACACAATGTCGGTGGTTCAAGCTCACCAAACACTCCTTGGAAACCCTATACAGCATTGCTATGGGTCAGAACTGACTCGATGGAACTTAACAACAACAATTCCTAAAAATAAAATGTATTCTGAGAATGTATATTATTTTATGGTAGTGACTTCATTAAAAACTTAGCTGTACAAAAGATTATATAAAACATAATATTTTTTGTCACTTGAAATGTTTAGCAAATGTACAGTACTACTGATAGTACATAGAGTTTACTCATTTTAATTATGGGAGAAAATACTCCCATACAGTTTCTTAAGAACATCTGGGAAAGTAATAAATAAATAAATAAAGTGACAATTTTGGAAAAACACAATTTACCTGCACGCCCAAAATTTCCAATCTCATTTGGGCCACTATTGCTGTTGTTCACAGGCAAGCTGGTGGCTGGCCAAGAATCTGCAAGCCACGGATAACTGGGATCCCCAGCATTTAGAAGTCCTGGGCGGCTAGAACAGAAAGAAGAAAGCAAGCAATCAAGAAAATTTAATGAGAGATTTTAACATCTATCTCAGGTGTGAAGAAGGGTAAAGAAATTAAGGATTTTAATTCCTGTCATCTTGAAAATATGGGGAAATTTCAAGAATCAAGATACTTCAGCAGTTCATTAAAGTTAAATATAGATCAACTCTGTCACTGGAAGTAGAAACAACTTTGCCTAAGATTCTGTCAGCATCCAAATTAATTCAGTTATTTGCCCTGAAACTGGGGTGGGAATCAGTAGTAGCATAGCAAGATCCAGAAACAAGGCTTGATGACAGATTGCCACCTCAAGGGAATAATTGCTCAGAATGATTGCTCGGTATTAGCCATTGCTAGGACTTTGGGCTACTGCTGCCTCGATTCTTGAAGCCCCAATATGTATCTGCCCCTGTGGGCTATAACCCTTGTAATGAGCCCTCATGCTTGATTTAGAGGCCAGGAACTTGAGGGAAATTAATGAACAGTATTTATACTGTTCCATCAATACCACATTTCCAAGTTGTCTAAATTACAAAATATCAAGAGCATACTAATTTTTTTTTAAAGTAATGAAAGATCTTCTATGATCAGAACAAGTATGTGAATAAAGTCTTTGGGGAAAACTTCCTTCACATCATATTTAATAAAGAATTCCCATCTTTAATATAAACGATGAGATTCTGATTCTTTTCCAGATTATTAGCATACTTACAAAGAAATAGCAACATCTATAATAATTGTACTTTTTTTTGATAGACCCCTTCTGGTACAATCCCTAAGAGAAACATGTGTTTCTATGGAAACTGCAATAAAAAGATCCAACCTCTTTCTTGCTACATCCACTAGCTCTCATTAGACCTAATCTCTTTTTGCTAAAATATTGATTAAATGGGAGATTGGAAGTTATTACCAGAGCCTAATTACAAACTCCATATTGGCAAAGGGAAAATAGATGAGGATATATGGGTTTGTTATCAGCTTTTATCAATTTCAATTGAGTATCTAAAGTTGTGGAATCCAGTCCTATCAATCTACAGGCTATTCATCATCCATGAATCATTTACTTTGTGATCGATTATGTGTAATTGTTCACTCACAGCAATTTAGGGAGAGCCAATAAGGAGTCTTAAACAACAGCAACTTCATTTGCTAATGTCTAATTAATGCAATAAACATCCTGCTAACAAATGAACACATTCCTTGTGATATTTACTACTAATTTCTTCAGGGGCATCTGGGAGATATGAAACATCTGGACTTGATTCCTCTAAAGTGCACAACAGATAGATCATTAAACCTTGTGGTAAGCCATTTAATTCCTCCTAGAATTCTCAGACTTGTAAATGATCGTTTATTACGATAATAGCCTCTTACCATAGACTTCCCAGTCCTGATTAAAAATGAAATTTAAAAAAATCCTTAGCATACCTTCCATTGCTCATTAGTCCTCCATCTCCTCTTTGAAATGTAACTATTAAAAAAAAAGAAAGAAAGAAGAAACATACATATACAAGTAGTCAATATTAATTACAACTAATACAAAGTACATATTGGCCCTTAGTTTAGAGCTGAGGCCTCTGGGAATGTTAACAAATTATAATTAACGTAATTGTTCAGAGAGTATCATGCAGTAGTTTGGCCTATGGCAAAGCCACCATTTACTCCAACTTTAATAAAACATTTCAAAATTCAAAAGTCAAATGCACAGTTAAGTTGAATGAGGTAATTTGTATTTAGATGTCAAAAACTGTTAGCATTGATGTATATAAGAGTTTGGAAGATGGACATAACAATGTGGATTTTATCAAATTATGACTTTAGATATTAACACGAGTATTAACAGATAGATAATAGGGTTTGAAACAAGATAATTCAAGCAATAACACCCTTTGAATTCAATGAGAACTTTGAATTAAGCCAGAGAAATAGGTATTTCTGAATGACTATATATTTCTCATCAAGGATCCTTTAAAGCAAATTTATAAACATTATGAGTTGAACAACTAGCATTATAATATATATGATAATAATATTAATAATAGAAAATAAAGCACTAACTACTTTGTTTCACCATTTAACTCTAAGGAAAATTAAATTTTCAAATAATTCTTACTGAATGTATGCTAATTGTATTGATCATAAACTCAAGACATTTTATAAAACTATGGAACTTATTGATAACTCCAACACCCAGTGGAGCCACTGAAGGTAAGTCTACTCCTTCATTCCAGACAAAGCAAATAACATAGCTATTTTCAAGGATTGAAGAAAATTAACATTTGTTCAGGTCTCATTCAAATCCCTTATCTAAAACCCTGTGGCCAGATGTATTTGGATGTCAGAATGCTTCAGATACAAGAAAGGTATATGATGCATATACTATGTATATACTACAATGAGGTTCTAAGACACAACACTGCAGTTAGTGTTATTTAATATTTCTTTAGTGAAATATGAATATTTATGATTAGCAAGGTAAATAAAGCTTATAAATAGTTTTATATAAGTTTGGGTCTTTTTTTTTTGTATTTGTTAGTTACTTGAAAATTTGGGGAGAAATTCAGGTTTAGAAGTTTCTGACTCGCTAATTTGTAGATATAAGGTTGTAAACCTATAGTTCTAATCAAAGTTCATGTGGATTAGCAAAACCAATCACTGAGGATGAAGGAAAATCTACCATTTGACAGATGTGAACTCAATATAACCTAAACTTGGAAACAGTTGATTATGTTTACTATGAATTCTTTGCCAGTGGGTAAAACTAAACATAAATGAAATCCTTATAAAATGATTTATATATTATATAAATTGAAGACATGTTTTCAAAGATAGTATAAACACAGTGAACAATTTAAATTCAAATAATCACTCCTTAATGCATATGATCTAAACTCCAAGATCTCAAGTATGAGCATTCCTTAATTTCTATAAATTTCCAAATTCTATTCCCCAGTTCCTTCCCTAACTTCTTCCAATAGCATTATCACACATGAATCATAACTGAGCAAATTGATCACAATTCCAAGAATCTATTATAACTTTATTAGGCAGTGAAATATATTAGAGCTTTCAGGAGCATTTTGTTGATGTCACAATACCCACTTCTCAAATGCATGTTAAAACAATCCTGACCTAAGCTATGCATCTGTACAGAACTGACAACCTCCATTCCTCAGAGAAGATGAAAGAGTACTGATGGCTACTCTTCTTCTACACAAGCTTGTTTAAATACTGGGAATCATTGCATGCACATTGCATTGAGCTACAATAATAATGACTTTTAACAAGTAACAACAAAGAAAGAATTAATCTGAAACAATTAATGAAGAAAATTTACCACTGTATTAAATTAGGCCTGATTAGGAAAAAAGAAAAGAAACACAAAATGTGAAAATTAGATATAATTAGCTTTCCATCAGATGTGACTTTCCAGTTTTGTGGCATGTTAATGGACTGCTAAGGGGTTGTTTTATTCCAGTATAAAGTAGTTAAGATAACGTGGTGAGTGTTAGTGTGGATGCGCTAATAAACAGGCACTGATGGGTTATAGCTCAAAATGTGCTGTTTAGGGGATACAGGAGGAGCACTGGTAGCGTAGTGGTTACGAATCGGGCTGCGAACCTTAAGGCCAGCAGTTCAAAACTACCAGCCGCTCAGCGAGAGAAAGATGAGGCGTTCTGCTCCCGTAAAGGTTTACAGCCTCGGAAACCCTGTACGGGGTCGCTATGGGTCGGAACCGACTCGACGGGACTTAACAACAGCAACAACAACAACAGGGGATACAGGTGGTGTGCTGTGGAGTCGGTTCCAATCATAACGACCTGGTGTAGGTTTTCTGAGATTGTAATTGTTTATAGGAAAAGAAAACCTCATATTTCTCCAGTGGAACGGCTGGTAGTTTTGAACTGCTGAACTTGATGTTACCAGCCCTACTGGTATCTACGCTATCAGAGCTTCTTAGGAGATAATGGTAGGGGAAACTAAATAGGTCTTCTTTATTTACATGCATTTTTCCCCCATCTATAATTTACCGATACTGCCAGAGTGAAACAATGCTAGAAAAAAGGAGGCAAAAAATAAAGCACATTGACAAAAATTGAGCTGTACTCTATTATTTACATGCAACTCAATAACAAACTCTTTATAAAATGCAGATCTAAAAAATATTTATCATAACACTCAAAAACACGTCAAAACCTAATGGTTAATACAAAGATTTATTCATGGACCCAATGATCTGGTGTATGTTGTTGTTGTTGTTGTCAGGTGCCATCGAGTTGGAACCGACTCATAGCGACCCCATGCACAGCAGAACGAAACAATGTCCGATCCTGGGCCAACCTC